GGGATGGGGGAGATGGGGCGGCGGGGTGCTGGGGATTGCACTCAAGGACACTTGACCACTAAGCCACATCCCCAGCCCTATTTTGTACTTTATTTAGCAATAGGGAGGGTCTCACTGAGTTGCTTAGTGCCTCGCTTTTGCTGAGGCTGACTTTGAACCCATGAAGCCACCCAAGCCCAAAACAGACAATTTGAAAAAGCAGAATTATAAATAATAAACATGGAAACAATTCAAGGGCCCAGGGTTGTAGATGAGTGGTCGAGCATTTGCTTAGCATGCACAAGGCCCTGGGTTTAATCCTCTTATCCCAAACCAATGTTAAACAAAATTGTTTTACTAATAAAAGGGTGAATTAAAGCTGTGAAGGTTTTTAAAAAAATTTTTAATTAGATATATATGACAGCAGAATGCATTTTTTGATTCACTGTACACATTGTAGCACAACTTTTCATTTCTCTGATCGTACATGATGTAGGGTAATAATGTACCTAGGGTAATAATGTCCATCTCATTCCACCATCTTTCTTGCCCCCATACCCCCACCCCAACTTGAGATATTTTTAATATGTAAAGGTGACCGGGTTAAGAAAGAAAATGTCCAGTATTTTTGAATATTCAAAGATTTGGCATTCTCAAATGGTGATGGAAATATAATTTTTTTTCCCTTTTTTGTACTGTGGATTGAACCCAGGGACGCTTAACCACTGAACCATATCCCCAGCCCTTTTTATTTTTTTGAGACAGGATCTCATTGATTTGCTTAGGGCCTCAGGAAGTTGCTGAGGCAGGCCTCAAACTTGTGATCCTCTTGCCTCAACCTTCTAAGCCCCTGGGATCATAGGTATGTGCCACCATGCCAGGCTGGAAGTATAATATTTATGAAAAGCAGTTTGTTAACATGTATTACTACAATGTTCTTAATATTTAAATTACTTAAATTTACTTTAGAAATTATCCTTAATAACCAAAGATGCAAGCATACTTTGCATAAGAATATTCATCTCGGCATTAAAGCAAAAGATTAGAAACAGTTTAAAATTCTCAAATAAGAACACAGTTAAATGGCATTACTGTAGAACACACAGATACGAGCCATTGAAACTGTTGAGGTGAATATCTGAAGATGTGAGAAAAAGTTAAATGGAAAGACCAAGAAACAAGTCTGAACTATGTTTTCAGTTTTGTGTTAAAAGTAGATTTTTTAAAAACTAGTTCAGAAGGGAACGAGACTATAGTTGCCACCAGAAATCGGGCATTTCATGTTCTAATTTCCATTTTCTCGTAAAATTTAAACAACGAGTTACTCTTTGAAATTTTGGTGGCTATAACATGTTACAGGTACCACTTTTGTCACTGTTTTCCATGTACAAAGAAAAATGAGGTTTTTGAACTTTAATTCATTTCTTTGGAAAAATTACAGATTTGATTTTTATAGACACTACTTTGGGGTGCCAGGCATCCTTAAAAAAGCTATAGTTTGGGGGGTGGTTTCTTAGTGTAGTATCATAGGTGGAATTGCTATTCTTCAACTCAAGTCTGTTTTTGGTTGATGTGTGTTCTAAGTAAAGCAAAGAACATTGAATCATGCTTTAAAATAGCATAAAGAATTGTTTTATGTTTATTGCAAACCTTTTATTGATAGTGTTCATTTTGATTCTATTTTTTCCTTCTATAAAATGATTTTTTTCCCCTGTGGGTGTGTTAAGCTATCTGTTCTCTGGATATTCTTAAGAAAAGGATAGTTTGGGGCTGGGGTGTAGCTCAGTGGTAGAGCACTTGCCTAGAATGCATGAGGCTCTGGGTTCAATCCCGAGAACTGGAGGACAAAAAGACATCCTTCCTTTGGGGAAGAGAAAGAAATTTAAAAGGACCTGGTGCAACATTTTACACCGCCCTAAACTTTATGTTCTTTTCCAGTTACTTTCTCCAGATTTGTTTTTGTATAAACTTAATCTGATCTTCAGCACAAGGGTAGATG